TTCCTGGGCTGGAAAGCCAGCGCTCTCCTGGGCGGCTGAGAGAACTACATTTCCCAGAAAGCAACGCAGCTACGCAGGGCCTTTGGAGCCAGTGCATCCGGTTAGGGCGGGACTTCCGGATTTGTCTCTGTGGCGGACATTTTGACTTTTTGGCACTGTTCAAGCACAGGCTTCACCGCGCCGATCGCCAGAAGGAGGGGCCGTGGGGGCGGCGTCCCGCCGGGCAGGGTGTCTGAGGCGGGGGACCTCCACCCGGCGGGACTGGGGTCCCCGTGCCCCGCCTCCCCCGCGGACAGAGCGCCCTCCGCGGCCCCAGCGGCCCTCCCGCCTCGGGGCGGCGCCGCTCAGCCGCAGCCCAGGCCGCCGCCCGGAGCAGTGAGTGCCCGTGGGGGCCGCAGGGGGCGGGCTGGGCCCGGGGGCCGCGGGCGGAGGGAGGGGCCGGCCTGTGTGTCTGAGGGACCGGAGGGCTTCCGGGAGGAGGCCTGTCCTCAGGGCCGGGCTGGCTGTGCGCACAGAGGGACGGAGCCCGAGGGTCGGCGGCCCCGGCCCCGGGGCTGGGCCGGGCCCCGAGCAGCCTGGGCTCCGGGTCCTGGCGGCGGAGCCGGGCCCTCAGCGCCTTCAGCTCCCACAGGCCCTGCGGCCAGAGCCGCTCAGGGGCCGGGCTGGGGGCCGAGGTCAGGGCCTCCCGTTGTGGGGGCCTCAGGCTGTGGGGCCCGGGCTGTCCAGCCGCTCCTGCCCCGGGACCTGCAGACCCTCAGCCCAGGGTCCTGGGGCCACGGCGAGGGCTGTGGGAAGTGGACCCTGGTTTGGGCACCGGGTGGGTGAGATGTGGGAGGGCCTCCCAGGCACAGGCGTGGGGTGATGACCGAGCTGGCTCAGCAACTGGCAGGTGCCCTAAATATGTGTGTGTGTGTGTGTGTGTGTGTGTGTGTGTGTGTGTGTGTGTGGAGAGAGAAAGAGAGAGAGAGAGAGGTACTAGCTGGTTTGGGTCAGTGGGTAGAGCATCAGCCTACAGACTGAAGGGTCCCAGGTTTGATTCTGGTCAAGGGCACATGTCCAGGTTGGGGGTTCAACCCACAATAGAGGCTTTCAAAAGGCAGCTGATCAATGATTCTCATCATTGATATTTCTAGCTCTTCCTCTTTTTTCTATGAAATCACTTAAAAAATATGTTTAAAAGTAATAAAATTAGCCCTAACCAATTTGTTTAGGTGGATAGAGTGTGTGCCTACAGACTGAAAAGTCCCCAGGTTCGATTCTGTTCAAGGGCATGTACCTTGGTTGCAGGCACATCCCTAGCAGAAGATTTTTTTTAAAATATATTTTATTGATTTTTTAGAGATGAAGGGAGAGGGATAGAGAATTAGAAACATCGATGAGAGAGAGTCATCGATCAGCTGCCTCTTGCACACACCCTACTGGGGATATGCCCGCAACCAAGGTACATGCCCTTGACTGGAATCGAACCCGGGACGCTTCAGTCCCCAAGCTGACACTCTATCCATTGAGCCAAACCGGTCTCAGCAGATTTTTATAGAGAGTTAGAAACACAGTGAGAGAGGAACATGGATCAGCTGCCTCCTGCACATCTCCTAGTGGGGGTGTTTCCAAATCTTAGCTAAATAGAAACTTGACCACCAACTTACACCATACACAAAACTGTGAATGGTAAATTTTGCTGCTATTAACATAGGTGTGCATATATTCTTTCTGACTGATGTTTCTGGCTTTTTGGGATATATTCCTAGAAGTGGTATCACTGGGTCAAGTGGAACTTCCATTTTAAGTTTTTTGAGGAAATTCCATGCTGTTCTCCACAGTGGCTGCACCAATCTGCATTCCCACCAGCAGTGCACCAGGGTTCCCTTTTCTCCGCATCCTTGCCAACATTTGTCGTTTATTGATTTGTTGATGATAGCCATTCTGACATGTGTGAGAGGGTACCGTGGTGTCGTTTTCATTTGCATCTCTGGATAATTAGTGACTTTGAGCATGTTTTCTTATGCCTCTTGGCCTTCTGTCTTCTTTCAAAAAGTTTCTATTTAGGTCCATTGCCTATTTTTTTTATTGGATTAGTTATCTTCCTTTTGTTAAGTTGTATGAGTTCTCTGTAAATGTCGAAGATTAAATATTTATCGGTGATAACATTGGCAAGTATGTTTTTTTATGCAGTGGGCTTTCTTGTTGTTTTGTTGATGGTTTCTTTTGCTGTGCAAAAAAGCTTTTTATTTTGATTTAGTCCCATTTGTTTATTTTCTCTTTAGTTTCCAATGTCCTAGGAGAGGTATCTGTGAAGAAATTGCCTCAGTATATGACAGATTTTGCTGCCTCTGGATTCCTCTAGTATTTTTATGGTTTCCCATCTTATGTTTAAGTCCTTTATCCATTTTGAGTTTATTTTTGTGTATGGTGTAAGTTGATGATCTAGTTTCTTTCTTTCTTTCTTTTTTTTTTTTTTTTTTTTTTGCATGTTATCTGTTCAATTTTCCCAAAACCATTTATTGAAGAGACTGTCTTGACTCCATTGTATGTTCATGCCTCCCTTGTCAAATATTAATTGAGCATAGTGGTTTCGGTCCATGTCTAGGTTCCCTATTCTATTTCATTGGTCTGTATGTCCTTTCTTGTGCCAGTACCAGACTGCCTTGAGAACAATGGCTTTGTAATACAACTTGAAATCTGGTATTGAGATCCCACCTACTTTGTTCTTTCTCGGGATTGCTGTAGCTATTCGGGTCTTTTTTATTTCAGATAAATTTTTGGAGAGTTCTTTCTAGGTCTGTGACATATGCCGTTGATATTTTAATGGGGAGTGCATCGAATCTATAGATTGCTTTGGGTAGTATGGACATTTTAATGTTGATTCTACCAATCCATAAACATGGTATGTTCTTCCATCTGTTCATATTCCTCTATCTATTTTTTCAGTGTCCTGCAGTTTTCTGCGTATAGATCTTTTACCTCCATAATTAAGATTATTCCTAGATATCTTAATTTTTTTTTTTTTTGGTGTGATGGTAACTGGAATTGCTTTTTTAGTTTCTTTGTAAGTTCACTATTGGTGTATAGAAATACCATAGATTTCTTGGCATTAATTTTGTATCTTGCTACATTGCCGAATTAATTTAAGTCTAATAGTGTTTTGATGGAGTCTTTAGGGTTTTTTATATACAATATCATGTCATCTGCAAAGAAGGGCAGCTTTACTAATTCTTTTCCAATTTGGATGCCTTTTATTTGTTCTTGTCTAATTGCAATGGCTAATACTTCCAGTACTATGTCAAATAGGTGCGGTGAGAGTGGGCATCCCTGTCTCGTTCCTGTTCTTAGAGGAAACGGTTTTATTTTTTGCCCAGTGAGTATGATGTTGGCTGTGGGTTTATCATATATGGCTTTTATTATGTTGAGGTATGATCCTTCCATTCCCACCTTTCTGAAAGTGTTTATCAAGAAAAAAAGTGTTTTATTTTGTCAAATGCTTTTTCTTTTTTTTTTTTTTTTCTTTTTTTTTTTTAAATATATTTTATTGATTTTGTACAGAGAGGAAGGGAGAGAGATAGAGAGTTAGAAACATCGATGAGAGAGAGTCATCGATCAGCTGCCTCTTGCACACCCCCTACTGGGGATATGCCCGCAACCAAGGTACATGCCCTTGACCGGAATCGAACCCGGGACCTTTCAGTCCCCAAGCCGACGCTCTATCCATTGAGCCAAACCGGTCCCGGCCTCAAATGCTTTTTCTGCATCAATTGATAAGACCATGTGATTTTTCTCCCTCAATTTGTTTATGTGATGTATCATGTTTGATTTGTGGATATTGTACCATTCTTGCATTCCTGGGATAAATCCTACTTGGTCATGGTGTATGATCTTTCTGATGTGCTGCTGGGGCCAATTTGCTAGAATTTTGTTGAGGATTTTGGCATCTATGTTCATGAGGGATGTTGGACTGTAATTCTCTTTCATTGTGTTCTCTTTCATTCTCTTTTATCTGGTTTTGGTATTAGGGTGATGCTGGCTTCATAGAATGAACTAGAAAGTGTTCCTTCCTCTTGGATTTTTTTGAATAGTTTGAGGAAGATAGATTTTAGTTCTTCCTTAAATGTTTGGTAAAACTCCCCTGTGAAGCCATCTGGCCCTGGGCTTTTGTTTGCTGGAAGCTTTTTGATGACTGCTTCAATTTCTTCCATAGAAATTATCAGCCTATTGAGATGTTTACATTCTTCCTGGTTGAGTTTTGTAAGGTTGTGTTTTTTTAGGAATATGTTTATTTCCTCCAGGTTGTCCAGTTTGTTGGAATAGAGTTGTTCATAGTATATTTTAACAATCCTTTGTATTTCTCTGGGGTCTGTTGCTATTTCTCCTCTTTCATTTCTATTTTGTTTATTTGGGTCCTCTCTCTTGCTTCTTGGTGAGCCTGGCTAGGGGTTCATCAATCTTGTTTACCCTTTCAAAGAACCAGCTCTTGGTTTTGTTGATCTTTTGTATTGTTTTCTTTTTTTTGGTCTCTATGTCGTTTATCTCTGTTCTGATCTTTATTATTTTCTTCCTTCTGCTTACACTGGGCTTTTCTTGTTGCTCTGTTTCTCCTTCAAGATAACTGCGGTCTCTGAGTCAGAACTGGTTGTTGCGGGATGGAACCCAGCAGCAGTGGGGGCTGCCCAGTCAGGGGAACCCTGGCCTGCCGGCCTTCACAGTCTCCTGAAGTCTAGCTGTCCCTCAACTCTCCAACAAACATTCCCTGTGAGACCACACACTCCCCCTTTGTCTTCTCACTCACACACTATCTTGCAGTCTGCCCTCCCATCAGCAGCCATCTCCCTCTAAACTTCTGGGTATTGGGGTTTATGACCAAAATAAAAGCCTAGGAGAAAAGCTGATCAATGACTGAACTGTCTCCCTTATGACAGGATATGGACTTTGCAGACGTGGCCATCGCCTTCTCCCAGGAGGAGTGGGGGCTTCTTGGTGAAGCTCAGAGACTTCTGTACTGCGATGTGATGCTGGAAGTGTTTGCACTTGTCTCATCTGCAGGTAAGGGCTTCACATTTTCCCAGTGTCCTGAGGTGATGCCCTCTCTTCCTTTATTCTCAAAGCATAGTTTTCTCTCTTCCACAGCTAAACCATGGGCTCTTCCATTTTATCCCATCATCCTGACAAATGTGCTATAACTGAGAGTGCTGAGTGTGTGGAGAGTCCATAACAAAGGATTCCATGAATATCCCTCGAACCCATAGCCTCACATAGGACAGGAAGTGTCTGGGCGTTAGGATTATTGCAAACAGCTTAATGGGCCCAGCTTGCAGTTCCCTCTCTGGGAGGGTGTCTATGTCCACATCCATGGCTTCCATTTCTGCACCATTCCTCCAGCTATAGGCTCTTTGTGACTGACTGTGTCAGGTTACGATCTTTACTTGCATGAACTATGGGCAGTTCTTGAAAGACCTTCTTCCATTGTTGGTAATATTCTGTTCTCTGACTACTATTGCATGCTGTCTTGCTCTGGGCCAGTGCTGCCTACTCACCACTGTTGTCTGTCCATAAAACGCTCAATATTACTGTTTTATGTGCTTGTACATTAGAAGGTACAAGGAGAGCCCTGTTTTTTTCACAGGTTGAACATACAGGGTTGATCTAAAGGGTTGCCTGGCTTTCCTGGGTTCCAATTTGTGGGAACTATGACATAAAGGTGGTGTTTAGATCATACCGGGAACCTGCTCATGTCCAACAGAGTTTAGGTTGAGGTGTCACTGGCAACAGCTCATTTCTACCATTTGATTCCCATGCTTGACACTTCCCTGACTTATCTTTTAAACTCTGCCTTCCTGGTTTCTGGCTACCTTCATCATTCTGTCCCTTTTCCATCACCTGTTCCTCTGAACTGCTCTATCACTGTATTCTCAAATATTGACCTGTGTTATGAGGTAACAGAGACGTGCTTCACTAGATCTCGACACAAACTTTTGGTTTCTTGAATTTTACTTGAAATAAGATGCAAGCAAGCTTCTGCACAGTTGGCCCATGTCACCAGCAGACAAGCCCTGTTATACACTGAGCAGACGATCCAGCTTCTGTTCCATGTAGGGCTTGCCATGTTTGTTTCATATTCTTTTGGACATTTTATTGGTATGGTAATCTTCAGTGGCTCAGAGCATCACGGCAGCATCGTATCAATATTTCCTTCAGATAGGTTACCCTCACGTTTTTGCATGGAACCAACATGTTATGTGTGACACACTTTTGTAATGACACTTCTCCCTGTCATCACAGCCGACATTCATTTCATCATCATTTTTTTGTTTCAGGTTGTTGGCATAAAACGGGTGGTGAGGAGGCCTGTTCTGAGCAGAGTGCATCTGTACAAGGGGAGTCACGGGTCAGGGCTTCTAAGACAGCTCCAGCAACCCAGAGGACCCATCTCTGTGGGAGATGTTTCTCTGTGTTTAAAGATATTCTGCACTTGACTGAGTCACAAGCAGTGGACTTTCAGCAGAAATCCTTCTTCAGTGACGCATGTGTGAGAGATTTCTGTTTCAGTGCAAACCCTCACCAGCCACAGAGGGAAGCCAGTGGAGAGAAGCCCTGGACAGAAGCTGTGGACAGGGCCTCGTTTGTGACCAACTTAAGCTTCTCCTTATCAGGGCTGCCTTCAACCAGTAGGGAGGTTGGGGAAGACTTCCCAGCCATCTCAGAGCTTTTCCAGCACCAGGCCCCTCTCAACACTGAGGAACCACACAGTCATAGTGAGATTTCAGAGGCCTTTCTCAATAGAAACAGGCATCACCAATGGGATGAATGTGAAAAAGCTGCCAGCCACAACCAGCACCTCCTTCAACATCAGGGCGTCTGCTCTGGAGAAGTCAGTTATAAGTGCAGTACATGTGGAAAAGTGCTTTCATGTATCTTTAACCTCAATAGACATAGGAGAGGCCACACTGGAGAAAAATCCTATGAGTGTACTGATTGTGGGAAACTTTTCATTCAAATGTCTTCCCTCACTAAACACCACAGAGTTCACACTGGAGAAAAGCCGTACAAATGCAGTGAATGTGGAAAATCCTTTAGGCGCAAAAATGACCTCTTTATCCACAAGAGAGTTCACACTGGAGAAAAGCCTTACAAATGCGGTGAATGTGGAAAGTCATTTAGCCGCAGTTCTGTCCTCTTCACCCACCAGAGAGTTCACACTGGAGAAAAGCCATACCAATGTAGTGATTGTGGGATGTCCTTCAGTCAGTACTGTAACCTCAGTAGACACTGCAAAATTCACACTGGAGAAAAACCTTACGCGTGCCGTGAATGTGGGAAGTCCTTCCATCGTAGGTCTTCCCTCACTAAACACAGCAAGGTTCACACTGGACAAAAACCATACAAGTGTAGTGAATGCTGTAAATCTTTTAAGGAAACTACACACCTCCTTATGCACAAGAGAGTTCACACTGGAGAAAAGCTGCATCGATGTAGTGATTGTGGGAAGTGCTTCAGTCATAGCACTAGCTTCATTCAACACCTCAGAGTTCACACAGGAGAAAAACCTTATGAGTGTAGTGATTGTGTGAAGTGCTTCAGTCAAAGCTGTAGCCTCATTCAACACCTGAAGAGTTCACACTGGTGAAAAACCTTATGAGTGTAGTGATTGTGGGAAGTGTTTCAGTCAAAGCTCTAACCTCATTCAGCACCTCAGAGTTCACAGTGGTGAAAGACTGTAAGAGTGTAGTGATTATCAGAAATTAATTGGGGAAATAATTATAAATAATAGGGGAAATAATAAAAACTCTCACAGAGCACCAGAGAGTTTACATTGGAGAAGAGCTTTAAATGTGCAGAGAATGTTTTACTTTTTCAGAAGAACAACACCAAAGGAGAAGCTTTTACCCCATTTACCAGAATGCAAACCCCTTCATCAGAATATACACTCTTCTAGATGCCTCCTAAGTTTCAGGTATAAATGACACTTTCAAAAACTGCATCGCACTTTCTAACCTACTCAGGCCTACAACCTGATTGATATCACACAAGTATTTGTGTGGAAGCTCTTTCAGCCCTACCACCTGGCTCCCTTGAAGAGTGTGCATCCATCACAACCCCTGCATGCTCTGGGGTTGGGCTTGAGAAAATTGGTTGAGCTCCTGGGTGAATTTTTATTGCTTTATTTCTGACCAGAGAATTGACCTGACCTAGATTTCGTTCACAGCACCCATCCTCAGCTTCATGCTACACCTTTTGAGGTTATTGTGGATCTCACATTAGGCTGTGATAAAGTGTTTCAGGTTCCAATTCACGAGCCTGCAAACCTCTTGCTGTCCATTGCTCTGGTTTATGATCTTTATGTAAAGGAGTTTTTTTTTCTTGTGTACGTTTAATATTGTTGGTCTATTAATTCCCTGAGATGTTTGAAAGGAAAGTTGTGTTCTGTCAGCATGGACAGGTGAACAATATGGTCGGGTCCCAAACTTTCTGTGCTTTGGAAGGCACAGCTTGATGGCAGAAAAACCACTGTTTGTTCAATATTGGCTGATTTTGAATTTCTGACCAAGGCTTTGAGTGAAAGTGTGCATGACTTTGTGGTTCTAATGTGCTGCCTGGTGCCTCTTTTTTGTAGAGGTCAATGGTCGCCCTGAACAGACAGCCTTTATTGTGCTCCTGTGATATAATATGAATTATATTCTCCTTTAGCAGTATGTATTACATAAGTGTCAGCAATGTTTAAGGGAACTACTCTCCACGAGCGTCAGGATGTATGAGACTTCATAGGCTGATAGGCTGATGTCATTTGTTGTAAGACTCTGAGGTGGAATTAGTTTGGAACATAAACACTGTTTTCATAGTCATAGCAGATACTGCAGTTAAACTAGATGAAAAGTGCCTCATCTGGACATAAGTCCACATTATTCCAGGGCCTGTGTTTTGTATGATCTTTGAATACATTCTGAGGACCTCCATCACTATTTCCTGTGCTTGTAGTCACTGGCAGACAAAATAATGTACTGTTTTTTGGACTCCCCTGGTCCCTGTAGGTTGTTCACCTCAAGGTTGTAGCTCAACAGGCAAGAACTCAAAGCTAGAGGAAGGATAATGATGTAATCAGTCCCAGGTGTGTCCTTTGTTAACAGCATACCTGTTGATTCCAATGACAGTCTTTTTAAAAATATATGTTTTATTGATTTTTTTCAGAGAGGGAAAGAGAGTTAGAAGCATCTATGAGAGAGAAACAGCGATCAGCTGACTCCTGTACACCTCTTACTGAGGATGTGCCCGCAATCAAGGTATATTCCCTTGACAGGAATAGAACCTGGGACCTTTCAGTCTGCAGGTTCAATGCTCTATCCATTGAGCCAAACCGGATAGGGCAGCAATTAATCTTTACTATTTGTCAATATTTGCTGCCACTGAAGCAAGGTTGGTCCTTCCTGAGAACTGACATACAACAAAGTGCCCCTTTCTCATGTGTGCTATTTGGTGAGCCCTGATGTAGATAAAGCTGTGAAACTGTCACATGTGACATAAACCACCTGTAACTCCTACACAGGGTGGGGCACCAAAGGCTCACACTTTAAGTTCTGAAAACACAGATTATTTTTTTAAAATATATTTTCAAAATACCTTTATTCTTTTTTGGAGGGAGAGAGACGAAGAGAGAGTAAGAGTGATAAACATAGATCTGCTGCCTCCTGCATGCCCACTATTGGGGTTCCATTTGGGGATGTGCACTGACCTGGAATCAAACCAGAGACCTTTCAGTGAATGGTTTGATACCCAAGCAGCTGAGACCACCAACCCGGGCAGAGTTTATTCCTGTATTATTATCATTAATTTTTATTATATTATTTTGCATACCAGCAACTCTAAACCTTTTTGCCACATCCTTTATTTTCCTAATATCCTGTTATAATCTCTCTCTGCCTTTCTCAGCCTTCCAGGCAGTGATGGATTTTTCTTTTTTACAAAAAATAGTTCATATTGTTCATAATTTTATAGGCAATCCTTGGTGTGTACTCCTTAACAAATACTGGTTTCCTCCACGTACACAATTTGAGGTTCAACACAAATGCTTATGTTAAAGAAATAATAATTTACTTCCGAGTAGTACTGTGCTCAATGAATAATCACTTTATCTATTGATATGTCTTTTTTGTTGTTATTTTTAGGTTTTGAATATTATAAATAAATCTGGGAATATATACATTCAGTTCTCTATATAGATATATGTTTTACTTATCACACTCTTGTGTGACCGAAACTGGTTTGGCTCAGTGGATAGAGCATTGGTCTGCGGACTGAAAGGCCCCAGGTTCAATTCCGGTCAAGGGCATGTACCTTGGTTGTGGGCACACCCCCAGTAGGGGGTGTGCAGGAGGCAGCTGGTCGATGTTTCTCTCTCATCAGTGTTTCTAACTATCCCTCTCCCCTCCTCTCTGTAAAATATTAATAAAATATATATATATATATATATATATATATTTTAAAAACCTGTTGTGTAGGTGAATGTTTTATATTTAAGATATGCAGAACTGTGAGCCATAATGGTCATTCCCTTTTCCTTCCCCTTAACCAACAGTAAATAAAAAATTTCCAACTTTCTGCTACCCTGCAAGGACATACAGTGGTTAACCTTTTGAAATGGTTATCCCGGAAATGGTTAATTCACTTTCATTTTAATTCCATCTACCTAAGAATTTTTTAAAAATATGTCTTGATTTTTTTTACAGAGCAGAAGGGAGAGGGATAGAGAGAAACATCCATCAGTTGTCTCTGCACACCTCCTACTGGGGATGTGCCCACAACCAAGGTATTTGCCCTTGACTGGAATCGAACCCAGAACCTTTCACAGTCCTCAGGCCGACGCTCTATCCACTAAGCCAAACTGGTTTTGGCAGCTCATCCTTCTTGATCTTCCCGTTGAGGTTGTTGGTATAAATAATATGGTTGGGTTGGATCGGTTTGGGTTTGGGTATCGGGAACTAGGTCCGCCTACTGGCTGCTTCTCCAGCTGAGCTTTATTAAATTTTTAAGTAGAATGTAATGTGTATTTTTTGTTGTTGAAGGTGTTACAGATGTCTCCCATTTACCCCGTGTATATGTTCTTTGAGGGATCTCTCCCAGTCCCGTTCCCCCCCCCCCCCACCCGCCCCTCTCCCCTGAAAGGTCTGTCAGTCTGTCCCAGGTCACCAGGCCTCTGGTCGCATCTCCTCCCTCCCTAACCCCACTGGCAGCTCGCCACCGCCTGGATGGACTGCGTGGAGAAAACTACATCACCCAGAAGGCAACGCGCACGCTTCAGTAGAGGTCTACGCGTTTTGGTTCTGCGCACGCGGTTAGGGCGGGACTTCCGGTATTCTCCTGGCGGACGGTTGGACTTCCGTTAACGGTTCAGCGCGCCGGTTGGGCGTTGGTCGCGCTGAGGAGGAAGAGGCCGTGGGAGGCGGCGTCCCGCTGGGCAGGGTGTCTGAGGCGGGGCGCCCCCACCCGGCGGGACTGGGTCCCCGTGCCCCGCCTCCTCCCGCGGACAGAGCGCCCTCCGCGACCCCAGCGGCCCTCCCGCCTCGGGGCGGCGCCGCTCAGCCGCAGCCCAGGCCGCCGCCCGGAGCAGTGAGTGCCCGTGGGGGCCGCAGGGGGCGGGCTGGGCCCGGGGGCCGCGGGCGGAGGGAGGGGCCGGCCTGTGTGTCTGAGGGACCGGAGGGCTTCCGGGAGGAGGCCTGTCCTCAGGGCCGGGCTGGCTGTGCGCACAGAGGGACGGAGCCCGAGGGTCGGCGGCCCCGGCCCCGGGGCTGGGCCGGGCCCCGACCAGCCTGGGCCCCGGGTCCTGGCGGCGGAGCCGGGCCCTCAGCGCCTTCAGCTCCCACAGGCCCTGCGGCCAGAGCCGCTCAGGGGCCGGGCTGGGGGCTGAGGTCAGGGCCTCCCGCTGTGGGGGCCTCAGGCTGTGGGGCCCGGGCTGTCCAGCCGCTCCTGCCCCGGGACCTGCAGACCCTCAGCCCAGGGTCCTGGGGCCACGGCGAGGGCTGTAGGAAGTGGACCCTGGTTTGGGCACCGGGTGGGTAAGATGTGGGAGGGCCTCCCAGGCACAGGGACTGGGATGTGCAAAGGCTGGGAGTGAAGACTGAGGTGGTTCAGCAACTGGCAGGTATTCTTTCAAAACATACATTAATTTCAGACATAGAAAGGGAGAGGGAGAAAGACAGCGGGATCCATGGGTGCGGGCCACACCTCCCTGCCCCGCTTCCCTCCCCAGATTCTCCTCAGGCACCTCAAGTTTGTGCCTCGCCCTCTTCTACAGCCCTGGGTGAGTGTTATAATTGTAAAGTCCTATGTTCTGGGCTTAGCAAATAAAAGCAAAACAATCACAACACTGGGTTTCTGTCCTGCCAGCCACAGTGCCGCTCAGGCTGCCTTTTTAGGGTGCAGCCTTTTGCAGCTGAGGCCTCAGGTCTAGATTCTCTGGTCAGCAGCAGTCTTGTTGCTTTCCTTTCCAGAGTTGGATGTTACACCTGTCACCAAGGCTTTAGTGCAAGGCAGCTCCCTCACCCTCTGGGCCTGCTGGCTGGTGTGCCGCCCCAGCCCAGGTCCCCGTTCCTACCATTCTCCAGGTGTCCTCTGCCCTTCGTGGTCAGTTGTCTC